ACTACAAGAATATTAGTTTTTCTTTGAAGCATAGATTGCACACTAAAAACACTCAAAATCGCAAATGCACCTTATCCACTCAAAAATGTCTTTACACATCTCTAAGTGTCTAACTTGAACCCGAACCGTAACCAATTGATTCTACATCTCCTAAGATAATTGTCTATCATAGAAAAAGGAAAAAGTTGAAGGAAACAAAGACTCTAGCAAATTTACAACTACCGCCAACATCCGAACTTGAGGAAAATATCCCTACATCCGATTTATAAATCATGGAGGAAAATTCGTAAGTTTTAGTTCAAGCGATCTTGGTAATTCTAATGAAAATCTAACCATTGCACTGCGAAAAGGGGTAAGAGAATGTAGAAGTAGGCCCTTGTACCCTATTAGGAATTATGTGAATTATGATGGACTATCTTCATCTTACCAAGCATTCTTTGGTAAAATCAATTCTCTATCCATTTTAAACTCAATATAAGAAACTATGGCTATCCCGGAATGAAAGAAGGCAACCAATGAAGTTAATGCTCCGGTGAAAAATGGTAATTGAGAGATTGTTGATTTGCCTCATGGAAAGAATGTGATTGGATGCAAATGGATCTTCAATGTAAAAGCAAAAGAGGATGGTAGTATTAAAAGATACAAAGCTCAGCTTGGTAGCTAAGGGATTTACTCAATCTCGTGACATAGATTATGAGGAGACCTTTGCTGCGAGAGCAAAACTCAATACTATTCGAATACTCCTCTTTCTTTTAACAAATTTGGATTGACCCCTTCATCTACTCGGATATCAAGAATGCATTCTTGAATCTAAGAGAGGAGGTCTATATAGACATTCCCCAAAACTATAGAACTCATCAAAAATCAACAAAGTGTGTCAACTAAAGAAGTCACTTTATGGTCTCAAACAATCACACGAGACCTTGGTTTGAGAGATTTACCGGAGTTATGAAGAGTAATGGGTATATACAGGGATAATTTGATCATACAATGTTTATAAACCATTCTTCAAAAGGATTGATTTCGTGTTGATTGTCTATGTTAATAACATTGTTTTAACAAGGGATTATGCTAAGGAGATTTCAAAAGTTAAAGAATTTCGAATAAAGAATTCAAGATCAAGGACCTAGGTAAACTCACATACTTATTAGGAATGGAAGTGGCTAGATCTAAGCAAGGCATTATAGTCTCTCAAAAGGAAGTATGTATTAAATTTTCTAAAAAAAAACCATGAATACTTAGGTGTAAACCTATAGAGACACCTATAGACGACACCACCAAACATGGGTCCGATAAGGATAGTGTTCCTATAGATAAGGAAAGATATCAAAGACTAGTAGGGAAGCTAATCTATCCGTTATATATTAGGCCGGACATAGCATTCTCAATAAGTGTTGTTAGCCAGTTCATAAACAACCTACAAAAGAACACATGACAGGTGGTGTACGAGTCTTAAGATACGTGAAAATGACTCTAGGTAAGGGACTATTATTCGAAAGAACTCAAGTAGGAAAGTGAAATTGTATTCTAATGTAGATTAGGCGGACTTAATCACGGATAGACGATCCACTTCTAGATATTATACCTATGTTTGGGGAAATTTGACAACATGGAATGAAAAGCAAGTTGTGGTAGCGAAGAGTAGTGTTGAAGCAAAATTGTGAGTAATGGCTTATAGTATTTGTGAAGGGATCTAGGTGAATAAAGTATTAGACGAATTGAAGGTACCTTCTAAAGGATCAATACAATTACTTTTTGACAATCAATATGCCATTAGTATTGCTAAAAATCCAATTCATCATGACCGGAACAAATATGTGGAAATAGATCAGCATTTTTATCAAAGAAAAGATAGAAAAGGGAGTAATCCAACTTACATGCATTCCTTTTAATCTACAAACCGCCAATATCCTAACTAAAGCACTTCCAATGGTGTATTTTGTAGATGTTAGTTGCAAGCTAGGTATAATAAATATTTACAATTCAGCTTGAGGGAGAGTGTTGGGATTCTTTGCTATAAATTAGCTATGAATTAAGCTATAAATCGAGTGTGTAATTAGTTGTATATTTGTTTCTTATTTAGAATAGATTAGGAAAGATTTTCTCCTTAAAGTACAAAACAAGTCCTAATGTTTAGGACTCTTTTTGTGTATATAAACATATGTTCTAATATAATAAAATTAGGTCATTCAAAATCTAAATATTCACAATATACATAATAGGTCTCTTCATTATTATCTTATTAGTTTTTTTTTTTTTGAAAATATATTATTAAATTATTTTATAGTATTTTCTCTTTCTAAATAGTGATGGATATGTTTTTCAATTATTTATTATGAATAAGTTTGAATAGTTATGACTTTTTAATTTTTAAAATATGAATAATTTTGATAAAGTTTTTCAATTTATAGTTAAAATAGGTTGTTAACTTCTAAAACGTAAAATTAGACACATTAATTTGAATTACTTTTCAATATTTGATACTCGTTAATTAATAGCAGGATAAGAACTCTTAAAAATATAATTGTTAAAACTTTACATTAATTTATTTATAAGTGTAGTTAGAATTTAATAATAGTTTTTATATTATATTAATATAAAAAAAGGTCTCGAATTTTTTATTTTAAAATAGAAAAAATTGAAAGAGTTCCATTTTTTTTTATTATAGTATATAATTTGGTAGGTTTTTTTTTAATTATTTTTTTAATTTTTAAAATAGCATTTCATTTTATAATTTAAGTTATTATAGGATGAAAATAAAATTATCAAATATTAAAAATATAAATATAGTATGATGAGAATTATTTTTGTTATGCATCCTATATGATCATTAAAACTAATAAATATTTTTTTAATGACTTAATAACTAACGTTGAAATAAAATTAATTTAATATTATGATTAAAATAAATACAAGTTAGGTATTGAGACACAAATATGATATGAACATTTTAATATCTTAAAATTTTCATTTTGAGTAAAGACATTTATTAAATGGGTTTGATGGTTTTTTTTTTAATAATTGTTTTTCAATGGTTATCCCTTTTATGAATGTTTTTTCAAAAAAAAAAAAAAAAAAAAAAAAACTTTTTTTATTTGTCACATGCTCTGCATATGATTGATGTATTCATAAAGTTATTCTTAGTATAAGTCATATGCATTACTAAGTCAATTAATTTATATGCAAATATTTAAAAGAAGGATAAATTGGAAGCTCGGTTAGTTTATAAAAAGATTATCAAAACTCAATCAAAAAGCTTGTAATCTAATGATAATCTTATAAGAGATTATGAATTTAAATTCTAATAGACTAATTCTGCTAGGAGTCTTAAGTATGTGAGTTAAAAAAAAAAAATTAAGAACTCACTCTATTATATAAGAATTAAGCCATCATCCAAGATTTTCTTAGGTGATTTTCTCTTAATTAAATTTACTTTTTACATTTCAAATTTAATCAAGTCTATTTCTTTTATATACTACCAAAATTAATGTATATCTTATGAAGATAAAATCCCTCTAGTGTCTTCTGTGTTTTTATATATATATATATATATATATATACACACACTCCATTAAAATTAGAATCAAGTTATAGAGAAAAAAAAAAAAGGTTAAGCAATAGACTAGAATAAATCTAAGATGCAACTATGAAACTTTGTTGATTATAAATTGTAATACTTTCATACAATCTGAGATTTTCACATATATATACATGACGAATACACGTGAAAAGGATTGAAGAACCTTTTTAAAACTTTTCAATAATGTTCTTAATTTATTTATTGATAAATCTTGAAGAAGGTGATTGGTTATGATATATATATATATATATAGAAAAATAAAATAATGAATTTTCTTATTAAAAAATTAGAGTTGTCATGAAAGATTATGTAAATTTAGAATTTTTTTTTTTAAAGATCCATAATAAGTTAGATTGAAAGGAAAACCCTTTCATGTAGCATAATTATTATATGATTAAATTAGGTAATTTAATTTTTTCAAACTCAATAAATAAATATATGAAATGATTCTAGTCAACTATTAGAATTTAAAAGGTGAGAATATATATATATATATATATATATATATATATATATGATGCTCTTAATGGCCAGTAACTTTGTTCGTTTTCAAGGGTAACTTGTGAATTTAACAAAAAATAGTCAGTAACTTTGTTCACTGCCCACCGATGCTCTTTATTTTACCCACAGCATTACGACACGTATCTCAAATGCTTTTGACGTGTCGGTTTCTAATTGATTATTGGTGCGGCTTCGTTATTTTTAACTTGTAGTGCGCCATCAACTCTGGCGCTCGTACGGAGCCGCAGAAAAAGATTATACAATCTTTCAAAAATTATTATTTTTGGCAAAACTATCCCGCGCAAAATTAATTGGCGCCTTTTTTAGTGTTAACTCTTGGAATAAAATTATAACAATCACCTATTAATAATATGATCATTCATTTTCAAACAAATAAGCCAATTTCGATATTTAGTAGTAGTAATAATAATAATAATAATAATAATAATAATATCATGTTACTACGTACGACATCAAGGGAACTTGATAAATGGTAGTGATTTTTTTTCTTTAATATAAATATGTATAATTTAACTCCAATAACTTAATTTAATGAAACAAATTCGAATTCTTAAAAAAATTACATTTTAAAATTATTATCTATTTATATTTGAAGATTCCTTTTCTTTTCAATATGATTTTGTGAGGTAAGGAATACAAAAATTATTAGTCTAAGTATTATAGTCAATTTGCTCAAGAAACGAAAAAATAATCATAAAATGAATTTGCTTTTCAGAGAATCAGACAAAGCTGTCCTCGGGCGCGTTTTAGCGAAGACACAGTGGTTGAAATGAAAAGGCCAACATTTTATAGTTTTTCTTTTTAACCTACATGTCTTTTCTTCTTTACTGTGATGGAGAGTTGGAAAGCATAAAAGCACAGTAGCAGAAAATTTTGCAGAGCTTGAGAAGCTGCTTTAATGGGGAATCCACCAAGAACCCGGAAAAGGGTCCATGCAATCCGTCGTGCCCTTGATGGAAGCGCCTTCAAGAACTGGTATCTAAACTTATAAATTGCTATTCTTAATTTGTTTTCTTGGATTAATTACTAGTTTTTATTCAATTTTTTTTTTTTCAATACACGTTGCAGCGACAATTGTGGGGTTATGGTAGCAATCGCTTTGGCTGATTTGCATGAATGTGAAGGTGGAAGCAAAAACAATGTGAAGAGATTCAAAGGCTTGAATGGAGAACAAAAAGTTGTCCAACAAAGATTTTGTGAGCAACCCAGATCGCCATTTCGACTCTTCATGTACTACTTTCTCTTTCATTTTTTTTTTAATTTAGTCTTGCGATGAAAACTTACATTTTATATAGGTGGTAAGCATTGCCCAATGAAAGAAATATAGAACGCTTTTGGGATTTGCCAGAGCCAGGGTATCAGCAACCAAACACAACTTGACCGTTTGGGGTTTATTACCTTGTAATTTCTTAAAAAACTAACAGCGTGCAATAGTTGGGCCTTTTTTTTGTCTATTCATATTTGTCCAATTCATCAACGATTAATAGAATTGATTATTTTAAATTAAAAGCATATGCTTCATTTGCTGGACATTTTTCTAGGGAAAATTTTATGAAGACTGGCAAGATTTGGAACATTATTGATATTGATCGAAAAGGGTTCGAGACTTGGAGGAATATGTCAAAGGAGGTGATGGTCAGAATTGCAGTTATTAGTCCTCTGTCTTTATAGTGGACTAATATCCTATCTGATAAGCAAACTTGTTCTGGTTGCACAGGAGAGGGAGCCATACGTCATGAAAGCTGACGAGATTAACTTGGCTTATTTTAAAAGTTTGATTAAAGAAATTGATGATAAGTCAGAGGTAAGTGTACTATATATGCTAGGTCTTGTTGTTAATTGAAGACTATAAATTTCATTTTTGCTGCTGAGCTCTATTTGTTTTAATGGCTGCATTCTTAACATTATGTTATGGATTGCTGTCCAGCTACATAGGAACTGAACAAAACTATATCTTTCACTACAAACATGCATCGTTATGGTTTTTTATCCGCTTCACATCAAATTTATTTTCTGTGGTGGTTTGTAAATTCAGTTCCCGCTCTCTTTGGCCCGAAGGTTCCTTGTTTTGGGCTCACTATTGCATATTTGTACCGTGTTATTTATTTACTTAAAGACTGGACTTGGATGCATCTTTTATATCTTATGCCAAAATTGCATGTAGATGTAATTTCCAAGAGGAGAGAAGAATTGTCTGCTCATTGATGCTTAATCTTATAATGACTATGACTTTTGGATTATCCCAAGCTCCTATGCCTCATCCATCTTGCTTTCTATGTCGTCTAAGTTGCGTAGGGGTATAAGTAATGGTCATGTATCTGTTGTAAATAAATTAGCTTATCTTATCATGTCCCCTCTGTTGATATATATGTTCTAAGATACAGTCATCAAGTCACTCCTTCTGATTCAGTCTACTTTCCAAAATGAAAGTCATTCATATTTATCAAAATTAAAGGTTTTAAAGATTCAGTTGATGAGATCATTGTTTGTAGGTCGATGATGAGGCAGATTCAGCAATGGTTGGGAAGTTTGATCTGGTGAGTCTACTTCTGAGGCTCACAACCTTCATAAATTCAATTTCCTTACAACTTTTATCATTCACGTAGTTGTTTATTTATCAATCTACGAGTGATCTTCTGATTATTTTTGTTTGAGTCCTTGACAGTTCTCTGAACACTACGACATCCCTGACAGCTTTTATAGTTTTTCGTATGAAGATTTCGAGAGCTGTGACACATGGGGACGGTACCTCTTTATCTCTTTATGTTTTGGTTTTGGCTGTCTGTTCCTACCACCAACGCTACATTTTCTGCTTAAGAATTGAACTTCACCTCTTGATGTAGGGACATTGTGAGAGCATGGATGATGGCTTAGAGTTCTCACTGAATTTTGAAGATCATTTTGAAGGTTCCCTTGCATTGGACTGATGTAATGGAACCACCTACCTGGCAAGGGTAGAGAATTTTACCCGTACCTATCTGCTAGAAAGGCAAGTCGATTGGCTATTGGCTATTGTATGGTAACATTAGGAGTTTAGGATTCTAACCATTTATATAGGTGGCTGTTTTCCTTTCGGAATATAAGAAATATTTTGGTTCCCAAGCATTCCAACTTGGACCTCCTCACCCTTTGGACAGCTTAATATCATACTCATTTTGAATTCTACTCTAAATTAATATATTTATATATTTAAAAAAAATCTAACTCTGGTCTCCCGCATGTGTACCAATGAAAGCATATAAATAGTAAAATGCTCAAATTAATTATAAAAATTGAAAAAGATTATTTTAAGGCTCAAATTAAATACTAAAATTTGATATTAAATTAATTTTTTTGAAAGTGTACTTGTGAATTTCTAAATTAATAATTTATTTATTTACTGTTATTATTTTTTGTAAATCTCAAAAATTTTATTTATTGAATCAAATTGTCTTGCATTTAAAATTTGAATAATTTTATATGGAGTTTGGTAACTTAGAATTAAATTAGTTTATAATTTTTTTAAAGCATATGAATTAGAATAAATTGCAATGATCACTTTACTTTGAGGTAACACATTTACAGAGAGCATTATAAAAGTTTTAAGACTCAACAAAAAACCCTCTTTTGTACCCAAAATATCCTTAAAGACTATAAAGTTATCAACTAAAATTGAACACTCTTCTTATATAAATTGATTTAGCATACTCTTCTAATTTTATTTTTAAATAAATAAATAACTAATTGCATATATATTTTTTTAATTATTGATCAAAATAAAACATATTCATAGAATATATTTAAAATTAATTATGAAATATAAATATTTTATTAAATACTACATAATACATGTTAAATTAAACAATTCTCACAATTAAGCTAATTATTTTACGCTTAAACTTTTTTTTTAAAAAAATTAAAATACATTACATAGACTTATGACTATGTACAAGTACAATGCTGGTGAGAAATACTTATCCATAGCAATCACTGGACCACCGAAGTGGAGACCTGGGTCCTTCGATGGCCCATTGACTATTTCTATCCTCCTCCCACCCCAAAAAAAAAAAAAAAAAAAAAATCCCATTTTTCATATAGGTCTATGCTAAGGTTTTTAATGTGTACATAACTGCATATTTTGTTAGGGAAATTCACTCAATCAACCAAGATTTACTGATCTAGATAGACATTTTTCACACAATCCTACCAGTAGATCCAATAGGAAATGCTCCTTGTAATGAATACCTTTGTAATCCTAGAGCCTGAAAGAAGAGGCATACAAATGCCTCGCGTTCCTACTGTGAAAATGCTAAAGGAGTGGTTGATTTGAAAGCGGTCAAGTTTTAGTTCCTACAGAGACAAGAATCTGCCATGAAACTTACCTGATCTTAGGACTGTTTATGTAAATTATGTTTAGTGACCCCTATGTCTTCGTTGGTCCAAGGATCCCATCAAGTTTCATCAATTCTCAGTCTAATGAATCGGAATCTGATTCAACCTATAAAAAACAAGCAAAGAGCCAATCTAGCATATGGTGTGCATCTTCCTCGGATGATTGAGAGATATCGTACGGCCAGCATTGCAAGACAAGAAACTCCTCAACCCACTTATTGCGTGGCTTCTTTCCACACAGACAAGTTTCAATAAACATTGAATTTTTAATGCAAGAAACTACTTCCAGCATAATTAGTTTACTACTAATCCACTCCATTCCGTTTTCTTCTTTATCATGCCTACCCTCCTCAACTTTCTTGGATTAATGTATCCAGGCAAGGATTGCACTAAACCACACAAGCATGGTCTCGCATAAATGGCTCAAGGGTGACCTGCTCACTAGGCTTCAACTGCTCCTGCACCATCTTTTTTCATTTCACTTTGGAATATAGCCTCAGCAGGAACAGTAGAGTCAATGCAATTTGCCTGATCGCATAACAATTATATCAGTACGAGGATACTATGGTATGAAGCTTTGCCTTACAAAATTGGCAAGTCAGAAAATAAGAAGCTAACTTTTATTGAAATAACTCTTTCAGAAAATATGAAGGCGTTGAGTGCTAATATCCTTGCCTGCAGATGTAATTCACACAACTTAGATACGCAATCAAAAAGAGTCAAATGAATGCACATATTTATTTGATAATGGGCCATGCAATATCGCCAAAGGCAATCAAATCAAACTGCTGCTAATATTTTTTACCAGTGCGGTTCATCAAGAAGTGAGCTAAACTAGCAAGAAACATGGCAGATTTGACACATTTTACAACCACGAATTGATAATCACAGAATGATACAAGGGTCCAGATATTTAATTGAAACATCAGGAAAACATCTGTCATAATGAAGCTAGCAAGTGAAACATCCACATGTGAATCCCAAATGCATAAATCATGCAAGTTTTTCAACATTGCAAGCTGGGAAAATTAAATACTGCTTTAACAAAAAATTGCATTTACATCAGAAAATCGCATGGATTTAATCGATTATTGCTCAATTTTTCATAGAAGAGTATAAAAAAGTTGGATAAAAAAATGCTAAAATTTCCATCAAGGAGTGCAAAATAAAATTTGGCAACAATTTCCTGCAACAACTGTCAATATAAAATGCAAACATATTAACCTGTCGTGCATCACATTATAATGCTCCACAAATACTATGAAACTGGTATGATAATCAAAGTAGACCACCATTACGCAGAGAAAAACCAGTTCATAAAATTTCTGAAGAAAATGCACACTGGCAGCAACTCCAAGGATGAAAAATAAAGTGTCCAACAGAGAAAAAAAGAGATGACATATTTGGGATACAGAAAACAAAAAAAATAAAAATAAAAATTATATGATTTATATAGGGCCAACAATACAAGACTCATGAGACAGAGTAGTGCCAGAAGGAGCTCATAGGTAAAGAACTTTAGCACCAGGTTTCTTGATTCATCAAGAAAACAAAAGAACAAAAGTACAAACATTGTCAAAAAGCAGGTTGCTTGAAACAAAATCTAACAAACCATAGAGCAACATTAATAGAAAATCTCATGAATGAAACTGACAATCCAAACATCATCTACGCCACCAAGAATAGTAGCTGCCAATTTTGATCAAAAGGGGTTCCAGACCCTGTACTCAACTCTGAGAAGAAAAGTATGATTTAATAAAGTAAATAAAGACACATTATAAACAACAAAACATATTCACCAAACAATGAAATGAAAAACTTGATGCAAAACATCTGTCTTCACAAAAGAAAATGAATGGAGATAACCATTAAAGAAAAGTAATAGATAACTGAACATAGATTTTCTTCTCATTGTAGACAGTCTCACAAGGACCCATTTCCTTAGTAACCAGAGCATCTTCTTCACCCTTAGCAATGAAGACTCCTCCATGTTTACGAGGTTCAACTGCAACTTTGCTCCCTCTTCTCATCCCTCCACCATTGCAGCCTCTTCCACCACCTCCACAGCCTCTTCCCTCTTCCCTCTTCCTCTAATTCAATTCAACTTTGTAGTTTCCATTATAAGATCAGTCATTAAGAGCAAAGCTAGTTTGCCACTATAAGATCCCATATCCATCCCTTCTTTCTCCTTAACCTTTTTTTTTCTGCTTCCTCCTCCCAACAATCTTTCATTTTTGAAGACTCCCGTGCCTTACAATTTCCTCATAAACCAGTATTTCCTATCCAATTCAAAAATATGTTTGCCATGGTTTTGTGCAATGCATATCCAATGACTAACTATTTTCATTTTGCTTCCTAGCCAACATATGGAACCATTACGTAGAAAAATCAGTATAAATAGATATGCTTAAGTCTAGCTTGTGCAGGTTGCAACATTTGAACTCGAACAGGATTCTACCCATCATGCAAAAATCTGAATTTCAAGTGACAAGAAAGTAAGCTTGAAATATAGGCAATGGAAGGCTAAACTAGAAAGTTACCATTCTATTTGTTCTCCATAATCAAAATACATAATTAAGTTTTTTTTAAAAAAAACTTTATGCTAAATTTCCAAATATAAATAAGCCAACAAAAAGTTCAAAGCACAAATACTGCAATTAAAATTAGACCAAAATCTATTAAAAGGACAGACAGATAACAATACGCTGGAAGCAACATTGAATCATTAAGTAGCCAATCTTTTCTTCTTCTTCTTATCCTTCACTTCCATTCCCCCAATTTCTAAACCGGAAGAACCTTTCTTCAGCTTCTTTTGCTCGAAACCATCTTCATTTGTAGCTTTCTTTCGCTTGACACCATCTTCTTTCTTCAATTTAGCTACCTTCTTCTCCTTCTTCTCACCTTTCTCTTTATTAGCTCCCTTCTTTCTCTTCTTATTTAACAATTCACCGCTACCCTTTTCAAAATCATCATCATCATCATCATTATCAAGATACCCTTCACCATCACTCCCCAATTCATCCTTCTCCACAACCTGACCATCAACATTATCATTATTATTATTATCCATATATCTAACCTCATGTATCCTTCCCTTCTTTTTCCCAATTTTGCCCTTTTTAACCTTCTCTTTCTCTTCCTTTTGAGCGACCACACCGTCCTCCTCCTCATTCTCCTCCTCTTTAGCACCATCATCAATCTTCAGCTTCAAATCAGGAACTGACTGATAAACAGGCAAAGCCAAGCTATCAAGCAACTTCAAATGGAAAGACCTAATACCACCCCACTTCCTAGGCACAATCTCCGAAATCCCATTAATAGCTGCCATCACATTTTTGGCAATCTCCTCTCTACTCATCGAAATCCTCCCTACCTTCACCACACTACAAGTCCCACTCCTCAGATACAACAAGGCAGACCCAAAGGCTTTGTCAATCTGCTCTTTCCAATTGTGGTGCTTCAAATCTAGAGGCACCGGAATCTTCTTCTTCTTAAAAAACTGCTTCCCTAACATCTTAGGCAAGAGATGAACCACCCTTCTATCAGCAAAGAACATATCATAAGAATCACAGAGTTTCCTCTTAGCCTCAAAAGGACGGTAATCGGTCTTGAGCTTGGAAATCTTGATGATTTTGGAGATGGGTATGTTGTCGTTTTGAATCTTCTTCTTGGCAGCATCTTTATTGAGGCCTGATTTGGGTCTGTCATCGATGATTAAGCAGATCTCAGGGGCTTCGTTTAAAGGGTTCATTAAGGGGTTGGGGATAGGGATTTTGTGGGCGTTGGTGCGGCTGAAACCCTTTTGTGGGATCTTTTTGAGGGTTAGAATAAGGTAGACGAACTCGTCATGTTCGAGTAATTGAGCCTTTTGCGTGTTCAATTTGGAAGATCTCCACTTAAGAAGAGCATCCACAGCTTTCTCCACTGTTTTGGGGCTCACACCAGATGGTGGTGGAAGCGTTTCCATGAGTGATAGACAGTGACAGTAGAGAGAGTTGCAGAAAGGAAGGTGAAGCTACTGTCTGCTGGCTGCTATCAGTGAAGTAGAATGTGATTTTAGGGTTTAAGAGAAGAAGAGAGGAAGGGTTCTGTTTAGTTTAGGGTTTTGGTGTATTTTAATTTAAAGCAGAGAGAGAGAGAGAGTTTATGGGCCGAGCTTGATGGAGAGTTGGGCTAATAGCTAAGATTTTCTTGGTGGCCCATGTTTGGTTTTAGTCTTAGGTGCTAGGAGACGTATTGCCTGCTTTTCTTTGCACTCTGCAGGATGATTTACCTTTTTTTTTTTTTTTTCGATCGATCTATTTTCCTGTCCAAGAAACCTTGTTCATCTTATATTATCTTGATTTATTTATTTCAGACAATGTGTCATGTAAGCATACAAAAAGTAATTCTATAATGGATGAAACATAACAAAACAAAACAAAACAAAATAAATAGATTCAATCAATTAAAAAAAAAAAGTTTCAATAAAAAGAATTTTCAAAAAAAAAAAACATGAATCTAAATATGGGAAAAATTCATTGAGACAAAGGATAATGGAGTTTATTAATTTGACAAACCTTCAAAACAAAGAACACAACTACACAACTATATAGTTATAAGAAAACTTCCAAAACATTCAAAACTTTTATGATTCAATGATGTTTATTTTCGTTCATGAGGTTGTTACAATATTTAAATAGAAAAATTAGAAAATTCTAATAATACTAAATAGAAAAAAACATGAAATAGAATCCTAAAACATTAATTAACCTTGTTTTCTTGAAACCTGGTCTTGATGTTAAACCAATTAAACAAAAAAATAATGGATATTTAAATTGAAATTCTTTATCCCAATAACATCAGTATAATTTGTATCATTAAGAAAAGAAGAATTAAAAAAAGAGTTCTCACAAACCATGAACTCATAATTTAGTCGATTAATTTACAAGGACATTCTTTCTTTGTATGACAAGAAAATTAACTTGACATTATCTCCATTGACCACCATGCTTTCAAATTCCTTGGACTTTTTTTTTGTCAACAGTAAAAGTGTCTTTTGGCCGACGCGCACACACCTGTTGCATCTATTGTTTTTTCACCGTAGTTGAATCCTTATTTTTGGGAATTACATCGTAGACCAACAACTACCCTTGACTCATAAGAAATCTTGCATTCAAAGGATTCTCCGATTCCTAGTACTTGTGCAATAAAACTTTCATTCTCCGCAAATTTAATCCATTAATTAAACACCAGCAGCTCAGCTTTATCTCTATATTGCGTCTCACGAATTAAGATGGAAAATTTGTTGCTTTTGTACTTCCTTAAGATGCTTGCATATCCTATCAAGGATGACAATTTACTCTGCCCAAACGAAGCTCCTTCTTGCTCTGTCCCATCTCATCTCGATCAATATAGGGATTTTTTGAATTGATTGGAAAATGAGACGGGGTGTCTCATTTTGTATTTATTTTGAATGAGAATAGAAGGGAGATGGTATTTACCCACTCTATTTCGTTTGTCTCACTTTATCTATGAAATTATAATTATATCTTATATAAAATCTGTGACTACTAAATCTTACAGTTTATTTTTTATATAAACTATTGTTTTTTTGTTATAATTTAAAATTTAGTACTAGAATGAAATGAGACGGGACGAAATGAAAACAAAAAATTAAACGAGATATCGATGCCCCATCGAGATCTCCATCCTCGTTTGAGACAAGCGTGGTATGAGACATATTGACCCATCCGAATCGTGATACGAGGACGGGTAAAATTTCAGAGGCGGCGGGCGGGAATGGCCATTGCCATTCCTATATGCCATGGACTTCATCACGTACGTGGTATTGAAACAATACCAAGACTTCCCTTTTTTCCTGCAATATATGTTGATGCTGCCCCTGTTTTTTTTTAATGTTTTCCCCAGTTAGTGAATAAGTAACAGTGAAGTATGCTTCCATCTTTAGAAACCACCTATAATAATTTTTTTTTCCAATAAATTTCCATCAAAGAGAAAAGTTTCATCAAAATTGTTAACAGGTCTACAAAAAAGAATGACTACGAACTAAAGTTTTGGTGCATCAATTTTCGTATACGCAATTCTTCACATAAACATCATACCTACATGGGTTTGGAGTAATAGATTTGGTGTTGGGTTTGCCACGAGGTACATTTCTAAGCACATTTGCAGTGCAGCCCCCAGATGCCTTGCACCCCTTGATCTATGTCTCAAGAATAGTTGCTACCAATTCCGTCCACAAGTCAGACCAACTTCGTCTAATACCAAATGACGCATAGAATAACAGGACAACGTGGTTTATTAAGTCTCAGAAACTCTTAAAACAAAGAACAAAACCATAGCTGCAGGAAAACTCTCAAAACACGCAAAAGTTTTTATAATTCAAAATCTTTTTTGTTTTTTTGCCATAAGGTTATTATAATACTTAAATAAATAAATAAAAACTTGAAAACTCTAACAATACTAAATAGAAAAAACAAAATAGAATTCTAGAGGAGTAATTTTCTAATAACATTTGCCTAATCAAATTAATAAAAGGTAACTAATTCTAGAAAATCTTAACATTAAATAAATATTACAAAGAACATAATTAAACTCAAAATGATAGGATTTGTGTCCCACGTCACCCGTAGAGAAATATACTGGAGGTGTCTTCTCTAAACTTCTCAATAATGTTGTCATTCTCGATTTTTCTCTTCCTTTCTTTCTCAACATGGCTAACTTCAGCTCATACTCATGTTTTTTTTTGCAATGCCTTGATTTATAAAACTCCGACTTCAATACTTCTAAGGTCATTTACCCCCACACTCCACTCCACGTATTCATCAAACTTCGCAGTTTCCTATTCAAAATCTCAGTTTCAACACAACTTCCACTGACAAACTTATAGTTATTGTTATTCCCTCCAACATATCCCACATTCAAGCTGCCATTATTTATTCTAGAAGCATGGCATGCAAATTACAATTTGAAGTGGTGGCCATGATTATGAAGGTCTTTCTTATTTTTTTATTCTCCCATTTGTTGTAATTGATCGAATCAATCTTCGAACAATCAACATTGATGCAACAAGTAAAACTGATGGGTTCAAGTTGAGGTGAGAATGGGGGAGGTTTACTATACAATTGCTAAGAAAAGTAGAACTCTTACTTTTCTAGTAGGTGTTTGCCGTATTATATGTGTTAGTAGACACTTCACTGGAGGAGGATATGGCTTGATGTTGCCTAAATGTAACCTTTCCATAAATAATGTTGGAGAGTAATATAAAATGATTCTTGGAGTCTCACCTAAAAAGTTTAAGTTTTTTTGTTAAGATGGTCCTTTAACATGATATCGAACAAGATTCATACCAAGTCCTTTGTCTTTAAATCTTGATTAACTTCTTGTTCTTCCGAGTCATGGCCGGTAGCCCCGCAAGTCATGATTAGGAGAGTTTGGTGTCCGTTGCGAATGTGTAAAATATTGTAATCGATACCAAATATCCATTATACTTGCACCCATTAGATCATCCAGGCTTGATTTTTTTACGCAACCACTAAGTGAAATTGGAGACAATTATTTCATTTGGAGGAATAGCCTCTAAATGCGCTCCAATCCAAGAACAAGACAAGGTTTGTGGATGGATCGATTAAAAACAACACTAATGTTAATTTTGAAGATTTTCAATCTTGGATCTAGTGCGAGGCCATGGTCAAAACATGGCTAATCAACTCCCTCTTCTAGAAATTGTAAGATTTCATTGTTTATTGGCATTGGATATTTTCTAGCCATATAAAAACAATTGCAAGATGATCACTTTGTTATGATACATGCTCATCTTGAGAGGAATGTTGGAAAGTATATTAACTTTTCTAAATTACGGGATCTCTAGTGATTTATTAAGATGTATAATAAATCATGAGATTTTTTAGAATAATTTAAGGAATTGATAGGAGCAATTTAAAGGATTATTTGATTTATTTTGTAAAAATATGTTTGATATATTTTCCTTTCTTAATATATCACTCATTATAAATATGTAGGGGTGAGCAAACGAGTTTAGTTAATTGAAAATCGAATACAACCGGATCGAATTATGAAATTTGATTTGGCTTTGAATTTTAAATTTTATAATTTATAATCGAACCGAAAAATCAAAATTTATTTCGATTCGATTCAATTTTTGAAAAAAAATCAGTTTAAACCAAAAACCGAAATGAATAGTAAAAAAGACCTACTCTAACTCTAAATCCCTATTCTCTTCATTGAAACATCAAACACCGAAATACACGAGTCACCATTTCACCGAGTTCTCCTCTCTCTAGTCCTCCTCGAGGCTCCACTCTCCGAGTCCTTCAACTTCATTCCCTTCTTCTCTACTCTTCGGTCCTCCTCCGAGCTCTAGTTCTCCTCCTCCAAGCTTCATTCCTCAACCCAGGTAACCCACCTCTCTATCGTCTTCCTCTAATCTCACGAAGTTACGATCATTGGTCACCACCCACTACCCTCCTCCTCCTATGCAAGCGGCCTCATTTACTCTTCGTCTCTTCCTCTACCGGCAAGCTCTCTAAGGTCATCTCTTTTTTTACCGACAACAATAATATATTAGGCATAGATTATCAAATATCAATAAGGTATTAAAGTAAAATAGTTTAGGTAAACAAAATTTGTCACCGGTTGTTCATTGAACATGGGTAAACAAATTGTTTTTGAACATCGGATGCATTGGGCAAGAATTCTTCTTTGTTGGTGACGAGTACACGGTAGTGATGAACCGATGATGTGAGATTTTCAATTTTTCATTACTAATTTCACCGAATAATGAAGTCCACTTGTGTTGTCATTTGTTAATACCATTTTCTCCTTGCAATCCTAACGGTTCATCGTCATTAACTTTGTGCTTAAGATGTTTCTTCTTTGGCTCGGTTGAAATCCATAGCTTTTTAGGCTTTGTAAATTATAATAACTTCGATTAGATAATTCCTT